ACCTTATTTGTACTGAGTAATTAGAATTAGTTTTTGAATAGGCAATTAATTATTAGTAATTTTATTACGTAAACTTAAAATTTTGATCAAAATCTTTCATCAGTTACTGATTGAACAATTTAAAAGAATTTTGCTACAATTATATGAGCTATTAAATAAGAAATTAGCATTAAAATAAAGGTGTGAAATTAGCAATCAGTTTTAATATTAATATTTTATCTTTAATTCTCTCTTATCCATTTTTTGCAACTGTATTCTGTGCGCTTATTTTGTTTGTAAATTATAATTATTTTAGTCGTTTTCATTTTGCAATTATGAATATTTACATACTTTATTTTTGACTATTTCTCAGCATCACCAAAAACATACTTAGCAAATAAATATTGCTTTTTAATTTTGATCATAAACCTTGATCAAAATTAGCATAAACTTTGATTTGATAACTAATATTACTCTTTCCTTTCAATTCTTATCTCTGTTATTAAACTAAAATAAAACAAAACAGTCAGAAATATCCAGTATTTTTTAATATCAATCCTAATACCTTGATACTTTAATATACACATATGGTGACAAAAATTCGTGTCCTCCATTTTCATCTATGCTTTGCAGTGAGAGTTAAATGTTAATACTAATGATAATGATAAAGATAATTATGCTAATTTATCAATGGAGGACACGAATTTATCTATGGAAAATTTAATGTTTAGTATTTATTTTTTTCTTGATCAAATAAATATAGTAGCTTCATCCTTGATTGCATTATGTAAATTTGATCATATTCTGATTCTGAATACTTGATCAGATTAGATCAAATCAGATCAAATAAAATGAATGCATTAACGCATTTTTTTATCCAATTTATTAGTGACAATTTATGTAAGAAAATTAAAATTGTATCTTCGTTTATTTCACTAAGAGAGTAATTATTCCCATAAGATAACTACGATAGCATGTTTGTTAATTGTAGAATAATAAGCTCTTTGAAAGCAACAAGCATAAATTTTAAGCAAATGATCGGTCTAAAACTTCAATCGCATAAACTTTGAGAAGTAAAACGAAAGATTGATGGAAATACTCGTGAACAATGTTTCTGAAAAATTCTTTATGGATAGAAAATGAACTTTGAACAAGCATTATTTTATTCTTAAAAATAGCACTACTTGAATTAGATCACACTGATAATTTTGGTTTGTAGAAATAAAGTTTTCATAAATCAATTCATATCAATACATTCAGAGATGTATGCTAACTGTAGTGAAACTGTATCATACAATTAAATGTATTTTTGTCTACAAAAGTAATACTTTTAAATAAAAGTGTGTAATCAGTTGTAATTAAATTCTTAACTACGTTTACGTTAAAACTCTTTACACTAAATTTTCATAACAAAATATTTTCCATAAATTTTTCTTAGTCACTTAGATTTATTTTAAAGACAAATTATTACTTCGAATTCAACTCATTTCAAATTCAGTTTTTCAGTTTTTGTTTTTTGACTAAATGACTGAGAAAATTAAAACAGTAAAAGCATTTCAAGCTTATTATGATAGTTTTAATCTGAAAAAGCTTTTTAATGACAGAAGATTCTCTTCATGCTAAAAATAAGATCAGAGTTGTATTAATTTTTTAGTGTAATTTGCATTAATTCAAAAAGTTATTCAGAAATTTGCTGAATTATCCATTTTTGATGATAAGCATAAAAAGTGAGAAAGAATCCATAAAGATTACTTGCTTATTTCTAAGTTTATTAACTTCAAATTTTGATTCTCAACCACAAAAATTGTATTGGATAAACTTGTTATTTCTTACAAATGAATATGGATGTAATTTATCAATTTCTTCATGCTAAAAAAGACTATTTGAGAAAGAAGGCGAACTTTTTAGGATAACTCGTCTGCATTTCATAGTAAAGTTAATGAGTTATTCAGCTACATCTCAGTCACTCTCAGTATTGCTTTTAAATTATTTCATTTTTTAGCAAATCTTTAGAATTCTATTTATATCACATGAAACAAAAGTACTGAAAATATGTTTTTTGATTTTTGCAGTGAATTATTTAGTTGATTATTTCATACTCAATAAAGTTCAGATTCCCAATGATTTAGAAAAAAAATTTTTCTATAGAAGACTTGATTAAAGCTTATCAAATTTTTTACTACTGTGTGTAATATTAGCTCTACAAAGATAAAAACTGTCACAGAAGTTTACAATCAATAAATCCATTAAAATTCACTACAGTGAATGATAAATTTCTTGTATCATTAGTATGTCAGATTCCGAATAATGAAATTAATAAATTTAATTGGCCTAAATTATTTTGAAGCTGAAATTTATCAATTTTTTTTTGTCATAATGAAACATATGCTTAATTTTAGTTTATTAAATGAATACTTAAAAAAAAATTGCTTTTATAAAGAGAATGTATAAATAAAGGCCCAAAGTGTTGGTTATTCATTGCTTTGCTACATAATAATTTTATTTGTTGTCTTTCATTTACTGAATTATAATTCAGTTCAATATTTTACCGATCCTTTAACAAAATGGATTGTTTTGATTGAAAAAATTTATGAGCTAATCAAAGCAATGACTTAAAGATAAATTGTTCGTTTACCTGTTTATCAAGTATTGTACATATTTATTACTAATAGTTCATTAATTCTTTATGTGTATCATGTCTTCAAGTTACACAAATTATTTCCTCTCTTCTCGCAGAAATCTTTTAAATAAGTTTTTTTTGCTATAATTTGTTTTTGGTAATAACACAAAGTAGGATAAGCAGAAAAAAATTCTATAAAGAGCGAAGATTTAATTTAAAACGTCTTTGAGAATATTCAGTAATTTCATTTTCTTTTATAAATTGAGTAGGAATTTTGCCCAAGTAAATATTTTCAAGCTATTAGTATAAAATTGCAGTTACTTAAATAATACCAATTCTTTATTGCTGAGTATGGACACTTAATTCATTTGAAATCAAATATAGATAAACATGAAAGTTTGTTGAGTGATTTGAAGTAGTGTATAGTTCTTAGCTCGTTAACTGTAAACCATGACATGTTATTTAATAAACCGTCATCACTCTAATTACTAAATTACTTTAGCAATAATCAAACAAAAGTAAAGTGTGCTCAATTTGAGGTACTAATCATTGTTTTTGCATCAATTAATAGAGTAAATTGATTGTACGCAGTAAAGAACCAGTAAAAATTTGAAATTATTGTTTGTGTAAAGTATTTAAGTCTGAGCAAAGTTTAATTCTTTATTTCTTGCAGCTTTGTAATCTATCAAAATAAAATTAATTTATTTTGTTAAGAATATTATTTATTCATTTAGCTTAGAACAAACTATTTCACTTTAAGCTTAAATTGAAATCTATCTGCTAGCCCCATTTGCCCATATTACTAATCTGTCCTAATTTCATATGCAAAATTCGTTTACTTAAAATGGTTGTAGTTTGATCAGAATAGCTTTAATAAAGTAAAATTTTTATATTTGATACCTAAAAATGTGGCTAATTTGGTTTCAGTCCATTATCCTAGCAGTTGCATTTACACATAACAATCTTATCACTGGAATCTAATTTCTCAACGCTATACTTGCATCCATTTTGCATTTTTGCTATGAATCTTGAGTCGTATACTTTATCAAATTTTACTTCTTATTTGTGTTCGAAATGACGAGCTGTTTTTGGACATTATTTGCTACTAAAACTTTGTAAAGTTTTTTAAAACTCATAATGGAAAATAAATTTCTGTCAAATAAAAAGTTATTACACTAGAAATAAATGAGTGTAGCGATATTCATACATATGCAAATTACAACTTTTTACTTCATTAGAACTCAAATATTACTGAAAAATTAATTTTTAAGTTCGTATCTGTAATCATTTAAAAGAATTTTAACTCTATGCCAAGTTGTGAATTACTTATATTACATTATATTTTATTATCAACGCTGTCTTTTCATGACCATAATTAGTATTACCAATTATGCAGAAAATACTTTTGGAATCATCATGGCATGATAATTATTGAACAATCCTCCCTTCACTTCACGCAAATATTTTTGAAAAAAGAAAAATTTAGTCATTTTTGTTCTTTTTGAGAATAAATCATTTTTATGAACTTAAATTTATTAATTAATTGTGAATGGCGATTTTTTAATTTGTTATTGTTGCTTTACTTTTGTTCTGCAATAATATTTTTGCCAACAAATTAAAGTTTTCACTTTGTAAATGCTTTTAAAACTTGTCTTTGTAATATTTAAGAAATACTTTTCGATTTGTAATTAACAATTTTTCTTGGAATTTCTCTAATTTTGAGTTATTTGTATTAAAATTTGCTATTATTTACCTTTTTTAAATTTGTAAAAATGATTTTCAAGTGAGATAAATCCAATTTTATGAAATTTTCCACAAGAAATATTTATGACCTTTTGTTTTTTTATAATTGCATTTCATTTTATTTAAATGAGAGTTACACATCATTCTCGAAAAGTAATTTTTGCTTTAATTCAAGCATTGAAAATGTGCAAAAACTGTGCTAAAAATTATGAAAATTTAAATATCTTGCAAAATAGTTCAAATGCAATATTAAACGAAATTTGCAAAAATATTTTCAATTTGTTTTTTCTTCTCATCAAACACTTTATGGCTTTACTTGCAAAAATTAAAATTTTTGCAAATAAAGCCATAAAGTTAAAAGCATTTTCATTTTATGTATTTTCAAATTATAAAACTTTTAATGTTCCTACCAAACTTACTTATTTTAATTAAAAAACCAACTACCAAACACGAAAATCTGCATGATTGTCTAGCATTTTTCAGCATTGTCAATTATTTTCAGCTTGAATTTTCTTGAGATTTTGCTTCAATTTCTCTAATATTCTATTTCCCAAAGCTCGTCTGCTCTAAAAGTTTAAAGTAGTTATCGTTAAAAAAAATACCAATCATTTCTATACTTTATAGAAAGGTTGTAATTTGTTACAGAATGAACTAAATAATGGCTAATTTTACCAAATTTGATATCGAGTTTGATAATGCTGAAAGTGTTTATTTTGCTGGTCAAGAGGTCACCGGAAAAGTAAGTTGCATAATCTTTTTGTACTCTCATGAACTTATTAAATTCAAATTTTTGTTAAGAATTTTGGTGTTTGTAATGAATTCTTCGTAATTTTTTCAGATTTTTGAACCATTTTTAAAATTATTATTGACAAAATCGAGCACATTTTATATTCACAGATTGTGTTTGCATGTATTATAAAAAAGATCAAAATTGAAAAAAAAATACAGGTTGTGATTGAAAGTTGTGAACCTAATAAAGTTAGTGAAATACTTCTTGAACTGAAAGGTCGAGCAAAGACGTATTGGACTAAAGATTCAGGTATTTAATATAAATAGTTACTTTTCTGGTTTCACTTTATGTCTTTAAAGCCTGGAATAATTTATGAAGCATAAATAATAAATTTTTCATTGCATGAAGTTCAGACTCAGATGCACTTAGACAGAATGGATTTTAAATCAAATAAATTTAATTATTGGATGACTTATAAAATTGTAATGGATCACTATTAAGGTAACAGCGTTCTCATTAGCAAAATGAACATAATTTAATTTAGATTAATCAAATTTATAGCATTGCTTACTTGCAACTCCTGTTTCTACATTCTTTGTGCAACTTTTATAAGTTTCAATTTTAAGGTAAATCGCGGAAACATTGCAGTCAGGCAGAGCCATATTTCTGCGAACAATTTAATACTGGTTATACACATCAGTTTACTCAAAAAACTCCTGATAATAAAAAAGTACTGATAAAAATACTTGCAATATATTTACTTCTATACTTCACAGATTTTGTGTTAGAAAGCAGTTTTCTTATTTGTTCAATATCGCTCACTATACACATTTATAAATACAATTTATGAAATAAAAAAAAAGAAAATATACATTCAAACAGTGTATCACTAAATTAAATTATTCTGTGGATTATCCTATCTATTTCAACTTTCGCTTAATATTAATGAGGGAATATATATCAAGATTCATTACTATCCTTTTAAACTAATTACTGTCATTTACAAGTTAGACACGTAATTGCTTGCTGTACTTTGGTTGTACAATTTTAAGAAATACAGATGAGTTTATAGTACGAAATATGCATAATAAGTAAAAAATTAAATTAATGACCTAAAGTGCTATTTTTATAAATTTTTAACAATTTCAGCAACGAATTTTACCATTTGGAAAACATGAGATTCCATTTTCGTATACTTTGCCAAAAACACTGCCGACATCGTTTGAAGGAGAATTTGGATATGTTCGTTATACATGTAAAGCCACGTGTGAACGTCCATGGGATGTTGATATTGTATCAAAACGAGCTTTTACTGTTATTGGAATAGAAGATATCAACCAAAATTCTAAAGTATTTATTAATTGATTTAAAAATTAAACTGATACTATCAACATGTCAATTGGCTACTAAAAATATATTAACGACATGTTAATTAAATACATGGAAATGAATTTGACTATTTAAGGCGATGGAGCCAGCATCTGAATCTGAATGCATATCTTCAGTTAAGCTTTGTTGTCAAAAACAAGGTTCAGTATCAGTGGAAATGTCCGTGAATCGAACTGGATTCACTCCTGGCGAAGAAATTCATGTAAATACTTTGATAAACAATGACAGTGCTAAAACTATTCGATGTTTAGCACTCAAGATGAAACAGTTTGTGGATTACAGGTAGTCTCAATTATTAATAACAATATTATTGTTATTACTGTTTTTTCAAATACCTAACTCAAATCCTGAAAGTGTATTGTGCTTCAACTTAAATCTACATTAGAAGAAGCTTTCGTTTATGGTCCTTACAATAACAAATAGACATATATTGTCTACACCGAAAAAAAAATCTTTTATTTTATGCAAAAATATTATAGGTAGGAGTTTTATAACATTGCTAATAGAGAGAAATTTAATTACTTACTTATGCTAATGTTAATGCTTTGAATGGCAGTTTTATCGCTAACAAGAATATTTCTGAATTTATTGTATAGATTCCATGCGCAGAAATAGTATTTACTTATAATAAGTTTTGAAAATAAACGATTACAAATTAAATGATATAAACAATACAAAAAAATAAATTTAAAATAAAATTTTTCAGATTAAATGTTAAATTATTTAAATTCATACAAAATTTTTAGTGAAAGTAAATTTTTTTTATAAATACTTAAATAATTTAAAAGCAGATGAAATTTATTATAAAATCGATTTAAAAACAAAAAAGTAGTCATTTCGGAGGCAATTGCGCAAGTAATAATAATAATTATTATTTTGCGATCATTTATGATTATCAGCAACGATATCACAAATAATGGATGAAAATAATGCTAGCGATACAATTTGTATTATCAAAATAGTTATACTATTTGTAATATTGATTTACTAATCACGACATGCATATTACTTTATATGCAATAATAATTTTAATGAAGCTAAAAATGAAATAATAACTACAAAATAAATTTGAGAACAAGTGAATGAAAGATGAAATTTTTTTAACAATTGCATATTAAAATGAAAAATTTGCAAGTTTTCAGCTAATATGGCTTACAATTTAGGGCTAAAACATTTTCTGGAACAGAAGAAGTAAAACAAGCAAGCAAAGTAGTCATAAAGAAGGAAAAAGGCGAAATTGCTGCACATTCAAAATCTGCTTGGACAAATGAAATTATTACAGTACCATCAATTCCCCCGAGGTTATCTCGGTGTAAAATTATTCAAATCAGTTATGTACTTGAAACAAATGTAAGATTTTTATTTTTCCGATTTTGCTGAATTTTTTAGCATTTATTATTTATAATAAGCATTATTTATAATAATGATAAACAAAAAATTTCCATGTATATAAGTTGATTAAATATATAAAAATGCAAATTTATGAGAAGTTATTGTTTGGATTCAAGGTAAATGGAAAAGTAGCAACAGTAATACCAATTCAAATTGGTACTATTCCATGCCTATCAAACATTACTGAAAGAAACAAAAATGGTGAATATGATCTAACTGTAAGAAATGGTAACATTCCATCAGCCGAATCGATTAAACTTCTCGATGAAAAAATTACAAAAATACAGGTAAAAATAAAAGAGTTTTTTTTTCCAAATCCAAGATCCATTTATATCCAAGCAATAAATTTCTCATTAAATTTATAATTGCTGCAGATCAATCATAAAAATTTGTAAAAATAGATTATATTACTTCATTATCTCAAATATTTGAAAAAAATTAACTGAAAGAAAAGAAAAACACAAATGAGTATAAGTCTACTTTTTTGGCAAGAATAGATTATTTGCAAAAACAAACCATAAAAATGTAATGCACTCAAAGTATAATTATAGCTAAAATTTTCATAAATAAAGAACATTACTGATCAAGAACATTACTCTTAAATACTACAAAATGAAGCCAAAGTTTTGCCTTTTTAATAGTAGTTATGTTTGAATATTTCAAAGTTATTTTCCAAAAAATCATATTTGATCCATTGATATTCTTTAATTTTTAAAATGATATGCATGAAACATACAACTGCATTTTTGTATCACATGTTTAGGTGAGAAACGATTTATTTCAGATCACTGGTTTGTTTCAACTTTCAACTTAATTATTTCGAATCACATTTTTTCATTTTAGGTTACAATTACAAGTGAAAATGGTAAAACGATAGAAAGCTCAAATGAATTGGATGATCTAAACTTAATAACAAGTGAGCCAACATCACTTCTGAAGAAACGAGTGCGTATGCCAAGTTCAATAGTTAGCGAACTTTATCCAAAACTCCCAAGTCCTTATTATAGGTTAACCTTTTTCACTTTTTTATTGTTTTTTATAAAAATTATATACAATCTATGTTTTTTTCTCCATAATGTTAACATACTAACTTGAAACCTTTACAAAAATCATTTTTAGTAATGTCCACAAACTGGTCACTTGCATTTTTGAACCAATAACTTTGATGGTTCCACTTTTAGATTGTGAGCTGCAATGTAATCCAAGTTTTTTTTAAATTTGTAAATACAGGATATCACATTTTGGTGAGGTGAATATATTTGAAGATCAAGAAAACGTACAATACGGTGATATAAAATTTGCTCCGAAGTATCCATTTTATTAGAAGCAAAATTTTTAGCAACTTATTTTTTTATTTTTACTGCATTTTATAGTTTTATGAAAACATTAAAAGAGAAAAAATTGTTGCGCAGTTTTTTGGTTTAATAATAAATTGGACAGAAATTTTACAAAACTCACAAAATTCGATCTGAAAAATTTTTTGTGAACATTAACAATACAATAAAGAATTGCAAAACTTCATTGTTCGTTAATACTGCGCGAATAAAGTTTTGTAATTGCATTAATAATAACAAATTTTGCATGAAGTTCAAGGCACTTTTTGTTTGAAATAAAAATGTTTTTGCAAAACCCTCTGCTACATTTTTTCAATTTAATATCAAACTTATTGTTAACATGTTATTTTGTGATGAAAGCTTATACGCTGATATGAACTGAGTATTATGTTCATCTGTTCAGCATGCTATTATTAGTTGTTGCATAAAATAAGTCCTGACAATATTTGGATTTACTTACGATTAGCAACAGCAAGTAATTTAAAATTATAAATCAGTTTATTATCACTATTTGATTTCAAATTTGGGCTTTTTTCCACAGTTTTAATTACTATCAGTTGAGTGAACTCATATAATAATGTGCCATTTATATGGACCAAATTTTTTCAGTACTGAATTCAAGTTCGTATAATTGAAATAATTAATTCTATTTTGATAATCATTATCCATCATTTCTTTGTCTCGACATTCACAATATCATCGATGAAATATGCCGACTATTTCATTCGAGCGTGCACTGAAAATTTTAGAAGTGAAATCTAAAAATTACTGAATATATTTGCTAATTCAAATTAGTATAATAAAGTTATTAAAAATATTGAACAAATTTAAAAACAAAGACAGAAAAAAGTGCATACATTTGGCAGCTAAAGTTTTTGAAATTTTCGATCCACAATATGGGCAAGTACCAAATTTTCGCAAGTTCGATGAAGTAGAATGAACTGTTAAATGAATTATTTGTTGTTTTATATTGCAAATGCTTTTAGATTAAAAATTTTTTTTTTCTGATAATATCTGATAAAACTTTTAGCCAAATTTAGAAATGAAGAGATGAGTATGAGTGTTTGTAGTGAAGAAATTGGTTTTTTAATAAAAAATTTTTCATTAATTTTTTTATTTGGTGTCATCTCTGCAGTTATTAATGTGTAAAAAGAATTGAAGTTGATGGATTTTTTAGAAAGCGCTAAATCTCAGAATTTCCGAATTCGTAAACAAATTTTTGGACAATAATTACTTTGAAGTTGCTGAATTTTGCTTTTTATTAATTTTACTATTTATTGTTTATTCATTCACAATAACAAGTAAATTAACCCTGAAAATCATAAATTTCGACTTATTGCTAAACTAATATCATTTAAACAATCAGCGATTGATGTTAATTAAAAGAATAGTAAAATCAATCAGTAAATAAACAGCATTCTGATCAGTTAATTATAGTAAAATAATTATAAATTGTGCAAATCATACTTTAAGTAAAATTACTAAATTTTTAAATTTTGATCAAAAAAATAAAATTAACAAAATTAAGTCAGCTCAGTTTTTTTCATGATTTTTATTACTCATACTATTGAAAAAAAAAATTAAAAGAGACGAAAATACCAAAAATTTCCTCTAAATTTAATTAAAAATGTTTTCGAAAATAAATAGAGCAATTTAAAGTATCCGTAATGACTGATAGAAATGAAATTGCTTTCGAATGGAAGTTTCAGAATTAGTTAAAATAGTTTGGAAGAAAACTGTGCGAAAGAATTAAAATTATGTTTGAACAAAATAAGGAATAAAAGGAGGAAATGAGCAAAAAATCAGAAATTTGTTTTTTGCATAGAAACTGTCTTAAAATTTTCTATTATTTATTAATTTCAATAAAATCAAAAAAAGTTATATTATAAGAAATTAAATTAAATTAAATTAAATTAAATTAACTTTTTTAATTTTTAGTTTAAATTTTTAGTGAATAAATGAATAAATTGTATGAAATACTTGGTTAGAGAGAACAAAAAACTGAACTATACCTGTGCTTTCTTTAGTTTCCACCTTAGATTTTTCATCTGAAATTATAAGCTTGCAAATTTATAGAGTACGAATTTAAATTAATTTCAGCTGAATGGGATTAATATTATAACGTATACTGACTAAAAGTATATACCGTACCTGTATCTTCGAGAGCTGAATAGTACACACCGCTATTCTGATAAGCTAAAATTTCGAGCATTAAAATATGATAAACGAGGAGATAACAAGAACTTTATAATTTTTGGAACATCGAAGGCTACTTTTTAATGTATTAAAAATATCTGACAAAAAATAAATTTTTAAAAATTATTAATTTATAATTCTATCATCTGAATTTAATAGAAAAAATTTAAAATTTTTCAAATTGGAACACAATTACTAAACGAATCAAAACTTCAAAAACAGAAGAAAAACCGATCTAGCAGTAATATTTTTGAAAAAATAAATTTAAATCTTTGTAAAAGTAACTGAATTTATTCTTGTCAACAGAACTTTTTAACGTTAAAAAGGTGCAATGAGAAGAAAAAAAAAGGCGCTAAAACAAACTTGGAGGTGAGCGCGATGTGCTGACACTTAGAATACATGTATTTACGTCTTCGTTCATTACTGTAGCAATTACTAATTGTTCAAACATGTTTATAAAAATTATAATTCAAATACCAAAAAGTATTTTTTTAAAACTGATTGGATTAGTTTCTCTACATAGTTTATTTGATTTGTTTTATTAATATAATTTTTCGTTAAAAATTATTTGAAGATATTCAATTCAATTGTATTATTTGCAGCTATAAAATGTAGTTTGCAAAATTCGATTAAAAATTATTAAAAATATTTCTTTAGCTCTAATTTTATCAAATTGCTATTAATTTACATTGCTATCAAAATTGATAACCTCTCAAACAATCAAATGATAGAATTTATTTGATTCAGTTTTGAATCAGTCTTAACTGATTATTAACAGTTAAGAACAAGTTCAATATATGTTGATTAAAATAAATGAAACAAACTTTTTCAATTCTTTCTGTGTATACATACTTTTATCATAAAAATTCTTACTATAAAATTTGTAGAAATTTAAAGTTTGTGTAATTGCTGTGCTGAATATTTTAAATTTTTTAAAAGTTGTGCATTTTTGAAAAGATAAGAAATTAATTTGACGATTTTGTTAGCACCGACTTATGCTTCATCATGCTTAATCACATACATTTCAACTAGATGAATAAATTTTTGAATTTGCTGCTTCAAAAATTTTTAAAAATTATATAATTTAAATAGGAAAAACTAATTGAATTAATAGTGTTCAAGTTATAGAGCACTTCTTTGGACATAAATAACTGATTGATAAAATTATTACTCTATTTTATTTTTTTAAACTGCAAATATTTTTAGAGTAATTAACAGGTAGAAAAGAATATGAAATGAATCACTGATAAAGTTAAAGTAATTTTTTATTGTTTGAATGCATATTTATAATCTTTATTAATTGCTAATTGTGATAAATTAATTTAATTGCTAATTATAGGAAAAATTTTCATTCAGTAAATAGGGAGACAATTTTATGAATAAAAAATTTGATAAATTGAACAAGTATACGGTACTTTTTTACCTTGTTTCTTTGCATGCGTGTGACTTGCTTTTTTTGTATCTATAAATTTATAATAAATACGACAAATTAAGATGCAGATTAAAATTTGATTGTTATTTAACTTGAAACACACTTCAAAATAAAACGTGGAAATACGATCTCTATTAATATAATGTTGAATTCGTACAGAAATACATTGATAAACGTAAATTTAATTCAAAACTCATTTGACAAAAAATAATACAAAAATAACTTTGAAAGATATATCATTTAAATATTTTATTGCAGTGAAAGAAATCAATTTTATTGGTGATATCTTTTTTGATAGAAAAAATTTTAGTACTTAATAACTTAATTCTCAGAGATAATAATCATTTATTTGGTTACGCTATAACTTTGATTATATATTCAAAATTACACTATCAAACTCACGAGGAACAGAGTATGCTTTTCTGGCAGCAGCATTACATTTGGGTGCTTTTCTTCCAGCTGTTTTATGAACTACAGTTCAACTCAAATTAATATCTTTTAACGATTGCAAGATAAGCAAAATCAGTGCTGAATTATTTCTATTAAAATCAAAATTCTAATTTAATTTTTCACATTACCTAAAAACAAAACTGAATCACAGGGAATAAATTTTAAAATATGCAACATATGAAATACGAAAAACAGTATTTTAAAATTAAGAAGTGAACTTTGTTATATGCTAAGTCAATTTATTCATTTTGTTTTGAAGTATAAACTTACAGAAACATACATTGTTTGCTTCCAAATGGATGATTATTTTTTTGATCGTTTGACATTTGCAACATATCACTATTTGTTTGAATAGCATCAAAAGAAACTATGGAACCTGAAAAGTCTTCAAGTCTATCAATCCAATGCTCGAATGAATGAGCAGTAATCCCAAATATTAATATGAGTTCTTGTATGGATATAGCACCACGAAGATCTTGTTTCTGGTATTGCTAGAACTAGCGCTCATACTTTCATTTATTTTTAGATCAAACACTACGCAGACAATCTGTGATTCAGATATATTTTTCGAGATCAATTGATTACATCAAGCGAAAAATCAATCACACTTCAACATCACTCAAATTTTGACCATTACAAGGGAAAACCAATTACTACAAACCCGTGGAATATTCATTGCTGAAAAAAAAAAACAGAATACGAATGTAGATAAAATTACTAAAACGAGAAAAGCAAACTTTTTTTTGAGACAAGTGTTTTTCTGTCCTGCCAAAAGCCTTCGTCAGTACTCGAATTATGAGTTACTGTAGGAGTGTGAACTCGATGACTATCTAAAACTGTTTATGCGAATGTCAAACAAGAAATCATGTTAGTTCACAATAAATAAAACATTGCAAGCAGGGAATTGAAAAT